CTATGCTTTGTTTTCCAGATTTAAGGATTTTTGTCTCCTCTTGAACTGTTGATAGGTTCATCTACCTACTGTTTGTACTGAAGCCTAACCTTTTTCCTGGCTTTAATTCTTAAGCAACTTTCTCTTAACACTTTTTGATTTTGATCTATTAAAACTAAATTTGCTTTTCTTGAAATTAAAAATGCATTCAAAAATACTTAATGACTGCAGTAAGTTATATAGCCCCAGCTAGGTGCTACTTTATACTATGTTCATTCTGCTCACTGAGGTTTATGCCTACAGTCAGACATGTGTTCCTAGGCATGTATCTATCACCTGAGCTTGCTATTGAAAGTATTTAGATTAATTAAGATCTTTAGTGACTCAATAAAATGTGGGGGAAAAAAAGGAATGGGAAGTAACTGTAGATACCAGAGACCGTGTGGGAGGAGGGTGGGAAATGGCAGAGGGTGAGCGGTAGGGAATCAAGGAGGATTAAAAAAAAAAAAAAGAAGAAGCAAAATATTTAAGAAACAAGAAATGGAAAATTATTTGTTGGCGATAACAAGTACGGTAATATCCTTGATTGAGCCAACAGACAGTGTACTCTAGATGGAAAAATCCCTTTTGTATACTGTAATGATGTACAATGAATCAATGTAAATAAATTTAAAATGTAAACATTTTTTTAAAAAAATAGATTTTTACTGTCTGTGAGAAACATAGCTAACCAGAGGGTCCCTGTGAGGCAGAAGGTAAAGACCGCAGCCTCTGACCGCGATGTATCTTCCAAAGGGCTTGGGCAATTCCCTCACAGTCCACTGCTGGGGTTGATGTGAGCATAGGAGTTCATGTGCAAACGCTGCTCCACAGAGCAGCCTCCACATACAAGAACTGTATGTACATGTCAGCTATTCTTGCTGCTCTTAGGGAGGTCATTCTGTCTCCGTCACAAGAAACATCTACCAAATGCCAAAAGATCACTGCTAGTGGAGTCATGAGAGAATTTCAAAAAGCTCATGGAAAAAAAAAATTTAAGGTAGTGCAAAGACTTTTGACATTCATCTTTCAAAAAAATGCTTCAAGGAACCAGCAGTTAGCGTAATGGCTATGTCGCTGGACTCCCATGTAGTCGACCGTGGTTTGCGTCCCGGACCCGGTGGCTTAAAATTCACGTCAGGTGCGTGTGCGTGCGTGCCCAAGATCCCGAGAGGAGAATGGAGGAGAAGGGATTGCAGCGTGACCATCCCCCCCAGGGGGGTGATTTCTCACTCTCTGTCTCTCTGTCTCTGTCTGTCTGGCGAGCACACACGCCCTATAGCGAAAAAGCCTCTCCAAAAAAAAAAGTTTCAAAAGATGCATGTGCTCACCAGAAACAGAAAAACAGAGACATGAAGAGAGGTGGGGAAAAGGAGAAAGCACCCCCCAATGGGAAGAAGTCAAATCACAATCCCTTCTCTATTTTCTCATCTTTCAGTATCCCATGTGTCTTCCAAGCTGCTGTGGCTGGGATTCGGACTGTGGTCAGCCATGTTACTGACTCCCTCAACCACCAGGCCACAGGGCTGGCCTCATAGCTTTTCCATAATACATATTCCTACAAACTTTTTGAAGATCCCTCATATACACAATAGCTTGTGAACATAAACTAAATGACCCCTAATAATTCTTCAAAACCCAAGACTTCAGGGTCTGGGAACACTCCTAAGACTAGTACTGGACTGCAGGCCCCAATTGCTCCTTAATCAAGTGGTCCCTCCCCTGGGAACCAACAGCTAGTGTAATGGTTACGTTGCTAGACTCTCACATGGACGACAGGTTTGAGTCCTGAACCTGAAGGCTTGAAACTTACACCAGGCACGTGTGGGTGTGTGCCCAAAATCCCAAGAGGAGAATAGAGGAAAGGGGATCGTGCTGTGACCATCCCCCTGGGGGATGATTTCTTGCTTTCTGTCTCTCTGCCTCTCTCTGCCTCTCTAGTGAGCATACACGCCCTATAGCAAAAATCTCAGTTTTCAAAAACGTTATCCTTCCTAAATTCCCTCTATGGGACCTCTCCCCACAACACTACCTTACAAGTAACCGTGTAACCTTACAAGTACATCTTTTTTTTTAACCACCTGAGAATGGAGAATCACAGTGGGTTCGATTAAGCGTATTAGCAGTGGGTAATGTCCATATCCTTGTTTATGTCTTGTAATGACTATGGAGCAAACGTACCTGCACTGTCAGTGGTTGTAATATCAACTCCATGGATCAGGATGGCATTCAAACACTCAAGGTTCCCCTTTGAAGCCACAACGTGGAAGCTAAAACATATAGATAGATTTGTTATGCCACAGAAGCTGCCAAAGGTCAACTTAAATGTTACACTAATATTACACTGCATTCAACACACACATACTGTAAAGGTGACATTAGAACTCCTAAGTACTGAATGCAAGAAAGATGAAACATCCTAATTCTGTAATAGACAATACTTTCTACAGATATTTTAGAAACAATTAATGCTCTGGGACGAGCAGATGGGGTAATGGTTACATCACTGGACTCCTGTGTAGTCGACAATGGTTCAAGTCCCAGACCCAGTGGCTTAAAACTCATACCGGGTACGCATGCTTGCGTGCCCAAAATCCCTAGATGAGATGGAGGAGAAGGGACTGTGGCACAGCCATCCTCTTTGGGGGGGTGATTTCTCGCTTTCTGTCTCTCTGGCACTCTGACAAGTGCACATGCCCTTAGAGCAAAAATGTCTCTTAAAAAAATAATACTAATGCTCAACTGCCTTAATCAGAGAAAATTTACACTGTAACATCAAGAACTCTATAGCTTATTACTTCACAAGAGCACTCACTGGTGTTGGGAGCTTTATCAGTACACTGGAAATTTTGTTAGGCTATTTTATTTAGTTTTAAATACTAAAACTGTCCAAATAAATAGTTAGCGCAGAGCTCTTACAGTGAACGACAGAAACGTACTCCTCTTCAGAACTATTAAATCTGACATAAAAAGCCTTTCAAACAGCAAGCTGAACTATTCTTAAAACCCTCAACAGACCCAACTGCAGTGGCACAGGCAGTGGGTTGCCATTGCACCATGCTGAAGCCCAGTGGCAGGCCCGGGTTCAGATCCCAAGTCAGGGTCCAGGGCCAACTAGAGCATACCGGGCACACCTGGGCACACCTTTGATCCTGGCTGTCTGGGAGGTGGCAAGGATGACTGTGGTAGGCATAGACTTGTTAGTGGAATCTCCCCTCCTCCTTCCCTTCACCCCACTACAGGAAATAAATAAATTAATACACATTTATAAAATCCACAGAAGACTGGACCCTTCAAGGCCAGCAAGTGGCATGGTGGTTAAAGTGCTGGACTTCCAAATGGCCGACCATGGATTTGAATCCCAAAACAGGCAGCATGAAAATCGCAACAGGCACACGTGCGAGCATGCCCAAAATCCCAGGAGGAGAATAGAGAGGGGACTGTGTTGTGGCCATCTCCCCTGGTGGGTGATTTCTCACTTTCCCTCTCTGTCTCTTGTTGTCTCTGGCAAGCACCCACACCCTATGGGGAAAACGTTAAAAAAAAAAAAACCTGTAACTTTCTTCTTCCTAAACAGTACCACCAACCTCCACTTAATTCTTCCTCTTGCTTACAGACCTGTGTGAATGACTGAAGTTCTCCATGAACAGTTTGTAAAATGGAACAAATTTCCTAGCAAGGTGAGTCAAGCTTGCTTACAAACTAACTTTAAGCCATTAAGTACTCAAGATGTTAGTTAACAAAACATTCCATTATTTCTTTGATCATCTAATACTTATTAAATAAATCAGAAAACACTTACAGAAATATTCAATGTGCAATAAAATCTGACACTGGCTAATACTCCACCAAGCCCACCTGGTAATACAGTGGGCAGGTGTTGGCAAAGAACGCTGAGTACAGGTTGAAACAGAGCTGAGATGGGGTCGGCAGGCAGTTAGTGGTTTAGGTGCTGAGCTCCCACACGGCTGACAGTGGTTAAAGTCTGGACCCAGTGGCTTGGAAATCACACCAGGTGTGTGTGCATGCATCCCTGAAGTTCCGAGAATGGAGGAGAAGGGATTGCAGCGTGGCCACCCTCCCTGAAGGGTGACTTCTCACTTTCCTCTCTCTCTAGCTCTCTCCAACCAGGGACATACCCTTTAGAAAAAACGAAAACTAAATAAATAAATACAAACCAGAGACCAGACGAATGAAGGAATGCAAACCGGAGATCAAATGAAGAAAGGAAGGAAGGGAGGGAGGGAGGAAGGAAAGAAGGAATGCAAACCAGAGACCAAACGCCACTATGTACAATGGGTCTGTGCATAATCTTAATTAGACAGAGGGCCGTTTAGAAGGGAAGATAGTGTTCTTAAGAGCCAGGTAAATTTCCTTATTCTGAATAAGGAACCGCTGTAAGATTAAGGGCACCATGTAACCTCTCTACAAGAATGAGCTGAGGAACTGAGAACAATGCTATATAATATACCATTAGAGCCTTTGCAGGAATGTTAATTGCCTTCAAGACATGGTACTTATTTTCCCAACAATCTTGGAGATAACATTTTTTGTTGTCTGCTTGCTTTCATTTCTTAGTTCACAAGATTTAAAAGACCTCTTTCACAGCCACAAGATAGAGTAGTGGTTACATTGTTAGATTCCCACATCTGACCCCGGCCCAAGTCCCAGGCCCAGTGCCTTAAAAATCACCCTGGGTTGAGACCAGCAGATAGTGTATATATAATGACTATGTCACTGGACTCCCATGTTGTCGACCACAGTTCAAGTCCTGGACCAAGTGGCTTAAATTCACACCAGGCGCATGTGCGTGTGTGCCCAAGACACCGAGAGGAGAATGGAGGAGAAGAGATTGCGACATGGCCATCCCCCCCGGGGGGGTGGGGGGTGATTTCTCACTTTCTGTCTCTCTCTCTCTCTTTGTCTCTCTCTCTCTCTGTCTTTCTGGTGAGCTCATGCGCCCTATAGCAAAAACCTCTCCAAAAAAAGAAAAAGGAAAAAAAATCACGCTGGGAGTATATGCATGTATGTCCAAGATCTCGGGAGAAGGAGAATGGAGGAGACGAGACTGTGGCATGGCCATCCCCCCATGGGGGTGGGTGATTCTAACTTTCTCTCTCACTGTCTCTGCCTCTCTCATTCTCTCTTTCTCCAGTGTGCGCACATGCCCTAAGATAAAAACCTCTTTAAAAAAATTATAAAAAAAACTTCCTTCTTCAAAATAGATCCACATTAAAGTGATGTTATTCAACAGGACGGAAATCACAACAATTCTACAATGAATTATTAATGCTGGCTTACTACAAATAGTAAATATGCTTTACAAAGAAGATAAACCAGTTACTGAAATGTATATAGAGTTATAAAGGAAATACTGAAATACTCTTGCACAATTAAGAAAAATCAAATTGGGGCCAGCAGGTGGCGTGGTAGTTAAGATGCTGGATCCCACATGGCCAGCTCCACAGTTCGAGTCCCACACTGGCAGCGTGAAAACCACGGGGAGCGCATAAGCGTGTGTGCCCAAAAATCTTGAAAGGGGAATGGAGGAGAAGGGACTACAGGGTGGCCATCTCCCCCCTGGTGGGGAGGTAAGGGTGGGGGGGGTGATTTTTCACTTTCTCTCTGTCTCTCTCTGGCAAGTGCACACTGTATTGCCAAAAAAAAAAATTTTTTTAAATCGACTTTTTCTTTCTTTAAAACATGACATGGACTTCTGTCTCCATGATACAGGTGGTCTGAACAAACCTCTCTGTAAGAACAACGGTGGGCAGAGACGCTGTGCAACGTATGGCATCTGCAGAGCACCATCAGTGAGCTTAAAGGACAGTGCAGAACTACGGAGAGCAGAGGCCGCCTGTGCCCGGGGGCAGCCACTCACTGCAGAGGAGACAGCGAGGCTGAGCAGCCTTTGGACAGCCGTGGAGGGATGCTGCAGGAGCCCGTGGCGCTTCAACTAGCAGCAGGATGGCGGTGACCCTGGGCCCCCTCAGGCTGAAAGCTCAAAGGTCTGTACCCCTGGAGGGAGGCAAACCGGAAACACGCTGAGGGCAAGAGCCATAAGCTACATGTTTCCTAACATTTCAAAACTCTACACAAAACAAAAATCATTCAAGGGAACCAGCAGTTAGTGTAATGGCTATGTCGCTGGACTCCCAAGTAGACGACTGTGGTTCGCGTCCCGGACCCGGTGGCTTAAAACTCACGCCGGGCGCGTGTGCGTGCGTGCCCAAGATCCCGAGAGGAGAATGGAGGAGAAGGGATTGCGGCGTGGCCATCCCCCCTGGGGGGTGATTTCTCGCTTTCTGTCTCTATGTCTCTGTCTGTCTGGCGAGCGCACGCGCCCTATAGCAAAAACCTCTCAAAAAAAAAAACAAAAACAAAAACAAAACAAAACAAAAATCATTCAAAATAAAATGGTTGCTGTACTTACAGAAAATACATTTATAACATGTCCTATACGTCACTAAATACGAAACGCCTTAATTAAGATTATATGTGAGATTTTTTTTAAAAGAGAAATATTTTGTCTTGTGAACCCCATAGAGAACTCTATTTTGACAGTGAAAAAACTCTCAAAACTATTCAAATATTTCACAAACTATTATGTTTATAGTTCACCAAATTACACCAAAATTTATGACTCTGCCTATTAACACAATAATTAAAGTCAACTCAAAACAGAATCTTAAATCAAAAAAAACTAAACAAAAACTCATGCAACCATTCATTCATAACTCTCGATGTACAGCCAGCCAGAGTGGAAGAAATAAGGTTCCACTGAAGAGTTTCATCCCAAAGCAGATTTCTTTCACCTTTTAACATCTTAGCATTTGGGGAAAAGGCAACATGAAAAACAAAATCCCTTATAGATAAGAAGTTTTTCACTATTTATACTGTGGGGGCCTATAAATAGCCTTAAAATTCAGCAAAAATAAGGTCAGAACTCAAAATAACCAATGTTTCTGTAGCTATCAAATTGCTACTTGAGAAAATTAAGAGTATGTTTTATAAACTTGAAATTTTTCACTTTATTGGGACTCAAAGCTACTTAATTTATAGTCAGGCTTTGCTCTCTTTACTATACTTCAGTCTCTAAGCATCCCAAGGCAGTGACCCATGTCAAACATTAACTATTCACTTCCTGATATTCATTTCTATATTTAGTATCTGACTTACAGTTAGAAGATTTTAAATAAACTCATGCAAGTATAAATCTGAGAGGAATTTTAAAAGGAAATGAGACTTTTCACCTCTAACTTTGAATGGATTCTCTTATAATTAGAGAGGGTTGAAACAGAACCTAGATTGACCCCTTAACCCAACTGTTCCCCACCCTCAACAGGAAGGGACTCGATGTAGATTTGGGAAGGGGGAGGAAAGACATGGTTATGAGCATGTAAGCAAGCCAGCCGGCTTCCTCGGTGTCCCCAAAGCTGGGGTCCTA